TAAACAGTGTTTCGCGTTTGGACATGTGCAAATGCAGTGTAGGAATAAATCAAGACGGTGCATCAGGTGCCTACAGAATGAGCACGGTGCATGTGACCGAGAAATTAAATGCATAAATTGTGGAGGGCCCCATACTAGCCTTTCTAAGGTCTGCTGGAAGTTCCAGCGTGAGAAAGCCATTAAAAAGGTCATGGCTTATCGTAACGTCGCCTATGCCACCGCAAGAGACATTATCACCAAACAGTTGGGTGACAGAGGTATATTCGACAATGATGATGAGTTACTGGAAATTTCAAGGGACTTTCCCACCTTATCCCTTAAGAACAGATCTAGAGTGCCCGAGTTCTGGGAAAAATATGATGTACCACTGGATAACGAGTTGCAGGCGATTCAGGAGGCTCGGGGCTCGCTCTCCCCTCCCCCCACTCAGGGGAGAGGATGGAACCAGGTGGTACAGGGTCTGAACAAGGATGATATATCCCCCCCCCAAGGGCAGGGGCAGGGGTAGAGGGAGATTGAACTTGGAAGTGATAGATGATCCTATTAATACAAGAGTACGATTAATCAGAAAGAATTTGATAGCGTTGAAAAGGGAAAGATGGAATAATAGGTATTCCACCATCTAGCCGGAGTCGGACCCGGAGGACGGTAAGGTAGAGTGTACATTTGGAAATGGCGAAATTGAGGAGGCCGTCATAAAAAAAATTAGTAAGATGGAGCAACGGGCGAACAGACAATTGATTGACCAATTGAGGAAGAGGAGGGAGGAGGAGTTCCTCTCGGAACTTCTCAGCTTAATTGCTGACCCTGGACTGAAAAATGAAGTGGAAAGTGTTTTGAAAAAGAAAAAGTACGCTAGACGTCCCTCGGCGGAGGAGGAGTACGAGGAGCGGAACTCCGTCCAACGACCGGAATGGAACATTCCGATCCCGCCGAAAACTTTGGCGAAGATTGAGAGGAAAAAGGCCCTGTATGCAGCCAGGGAAGCAGAAAAAAAGTGATGGCAGGAGGAGTGGGAAGCCAGCCTCCCGGGCCCATCATATGCCAGGAGGGAGAGGGAGCTGGAGGCCTTGGAAGCAGAGAGAGAAGAGGAAAGGAGTCTACAAAGAATTGCGGACATGAAGAAGAAGGGCCAATTTGGCCACGTGTTTGGGCAAAACCCTTCCGCCGATAATAACTAGTGTTTTCGCGTCGTGTTGTGCTAAAAGTGGTTATTGTATGGACAGAAAGGTTTGGAAATGTGTGAGAAGGTTGGACTTGTATTTCTGTATGCGTGGTTTTTGCTGGTCTCCCAGACCTAATTTTCTTTTAAAGTATCGTTGGAATGGAACGAGTTCATGGAATTGTATGATTATAGTACTGTTTATTTTTAAGGAATATGGACTTGGCCCTTTTTTGGAATCTAGCAGTTTGCTTTCCATGAGGATAAGTGCGCGTTTGCCAATTCCATCTACGCAGCGCAATAGAGTTGAGAATAGGCGTAGATTGAGAGGAATTCAACATCCAAAATTTAGAAAAGTTGTTGCAATAAGAATGTCTAGAAATAGACGCAATAGAAGACAGCGCCGAAGGAGACGTCGAACTACTCCTCGTCCAACGAGACTAGTTATCAAGCGCTCAATTGATTTTGATTCAACATGGGGTACTGAACATGGATGGTATTATCCCGTTACCCTTAATATACTCAATGAAGCCTTCTCCTCCGTCTTTGATGAATTTAAAGTTCTATCGATAAACGTCCGCTATCTTCCAAATGACTCCCAGAATAAAAAACTGTTGTGGGGCGTGAGGAGAATAGTATTGTACCGCCCGTTATTCAGAATCGAGTTCGTTTGAATAACGTTTCTGGAATTGTACCAAAGCGGTTATTTAAGAGTTGTTGTAATAAACGAGGACATAAGTTTTTTATTACTATTCGGTTGCCGTATGACTACGTTGGTATTCGTTCGGACATTGCTGCGTTTTTTAATCCGAGTTTGTCGGTTGCTGTATTTAGAGAGCGGGATAAAAGTAACGATACCGTAAGTTTGTACCATTATCACATTTATGTTAATTTTACTGATTTGTATTGTTGTCATGAGATGCGTAAGATGTGTGAAATATATTTGTGTGATGCGGTATATTTGGATATTCGGTCGTGCCGTTTATCTTGGAATACTTTAAAATATATTTCTAAAGAAGATGCTGATCTTTATGATGAGGCCTTACGTGTTTCGGATTTTAGTTTTTATTTTCAATCGGTTAAGTGGGCTCGTGAGTTTAAGCATAGTGATTCCTTTGTTGCGTCTCACTGGCAGAAGTATCGTTATCTTGAAAATTTCCATCGAGAGATTCGTATGGCTTTGAATGGTCAATTCAGAGGTTTTCGGCGTTGTGAATATTCTTTTGTTGGTTGGCCTGTGGAATGTGCTACATGGTGGAATGTAGCAACATGCATAGCAATCGGACCATGGTTTCATAAGCGTAAAGCGTTGTATTTGTATGGCCCTTCTAATATTTGTAAAAGTACATATATTGAGAAATTAATTAGGAGGGTTAATTTGAATTTTGTTTTTTATCCTGGGGTTGGTAAATTTGCGTTTCAGGGTTTGAGTGAGCATCATAAAATTATTGTTTTTGAAGAATTTGATATTCAATATCATGTGCAGCGGATGTTGAAACGGTTGTTAGAAGGTAAAAGGTATGCTTATCCTGCTAAATGTAAAGATGATAAAATTATGTGTTTTCGTGGTCCGATAATATTTGTTGCGAATGATGAGAATGTTAGTGATCAGGCTTTACGTAATCGTTTGAATTTTGTTAGTGCCGACAGTCCTTTTTGGAATTTTGAAACCAGAATGAGACTGGTTTGATGGTTTTCGTTCTACTTGATAGAACAGGTTTTGGAAGTTATGGCTCTTCAATCGCTAAATCATCACTAAACAGTTGGATGATAGAGGAATATTTGATAATGACGAAGAGTTAATGGAAATTTCTAGGGACTTCCCCGCCTTGACGATGAGAAGCAGGGCCAGAGTCCCGGAGTTCTGGGAGAAGCTAGAGGTACCCCTGGACAATGAACTTTAGGCAATCAAGGAGGCTCGGGGACTTCCGTTTCGACGGCTGAGCGGAGCGGTTGGTAGTGCGGTGAGCGCGCTGGAAATTTTGCATTGAGTGGTTTTTCATAGGGAAATAGTTTTCCTATTGAGAAAGTGAAGTGTTTATCGGGCCTAGTTTAAAACCCGGGTAAAAAGAGTGCGGGGAGGAGACTTTGGGGCATTTTTCCTGGGCTGAGTTCTCTCGGTCCAGGAATTAACCGGACGGGGGAGGGGATCCTCCCAAGCGGCAAAGACATGCCGCTTGGGAGTAGAAGACGAAGAATTAAGGAGAAGGTGAGGAATAAGAGTAAAAGCCTCAGCGAAAATGAAGGCTCGAAACCTGTGATAGATATGGATTTGGAAAAACCTGGAAGTGACGGGGAATGGGAGACGGAATACCTGGAAGAGGATAAGGAAGCACGAGAATTTTTTGCTGGAAAAACGGTTATGGAAAAAACACCTCAGAGGGAGCTGAGGGTTGCTAAAATTGTGGCAGAATTTGAACAGAAGGAAGTAAGTGGGGAGGTGGCCAATCAAAAAGAGCCACGCAAGGCCCCAATGGAACAGGACAAGGATCTTTCGAAAGACGAAGTTGGTAGTATTGAAATGACATCAGAAAAGCCGTTAGAACGCGGTAACGACGCATCAAGAACGCCTAGCGACAAAGCCGAATGGACGTTGGTAGAAACAAGCAGAAAGAGGTTACGAAGGTTTAGCGAGGAGGATCTGGGATTTGCAGGACAAAGTAAAAAAAGGGGTGACAAACAAACCGTGGAGGCGTGCAATGAACCTAACCGTACTGTTAATATAGATAAGAAGGATAAGAACGTGTAAGAAGAAAAGGGCACAAAGGATATTGAGGACTTGGAACTTACAAAGGACGAAGAGATACGAAGGAACAAAGGACTGGCCACCATTGAGCACGGCGTAAACGCTCCAATAGGTGAGAAATTAAAGAGATCCTATTATCAGGAAGAGTTCGTGAGCAGAGAGTATATGGTGTCGCTGGTGCTGAAAAAGGAGGCCACCAGCAGAGTGAAACGTAGAAACATTATTAAAATATATAGAATAATTAAAAATAAAAGAAGGTTCTTGAGGGGTTTCAAAATGGTCGCTTTTAATAGGGCGGAGCTGACTTTCAGCGAAATGGCGGCGGCCAACGAAATCCTGAGACGCGCAGACGAGGGAGATGCATACTTCAATGCATATTTGCCTGAACGAAAGATAACCAGAAAGGGTGTGATCATCGACTGGGAGGAGCCCGTGGATGCATTAGAGGAAGCCCTGGTGCCTGGCCAACCGGAGGCGAAGTTTGAAAGATTAAAAAAGAAGGTTACGAAGGATGGCAAAACGGAGTGGGTGGAGGGCATCGCAATCCTTGCATTTAAAGGGGACCAACTACCAAAAGAATTGTGGATTGGACACGGCCACGTTAGTGTAAGGGTGTTCCCTTTTGTGGAAGCTGTGAAACAATGTTATAGGTGCTTCGCTTTTGGACATATACAGTTACAGTGTAGAAATAAGTATAAGAGGTGTATTAGATGCTTGGAAAATGAGCATGGCCAATGCGACAGGCCGGCAAAGTGCCTGAACTGTGGTGGGGATCACACCAGCTTATCAAAGGGCTGCTGGAAATACCAAAGGGAGAAGGCAGTGAAAAAAGTAATGGCGTACCGCAATATGGCGTATGCCACTGCAAGGGACTGGGTGTCGAAACAGACGGGGGATAAGGGAATATTGGATGACGATGATGACAGAGTGGACGGTTCAAGGGACTTTCCAGCTTTATCTAGAAGAAACAAAATTAAAAATCCTGAGTTTTGGGAGAAAGGGGAAGTTCCCCTGGGAGAGGAACTTCAGGCCATCAGGGAGGCTCGGGGCCAACCTGCACCCATAGGACCCAACCCGAGAGGCTGGGAGACAGCCCTGGGAATCCGAAAGGACCCCCCCCCCCAAGTAAGGGGCGTGGTAGGGGTAGACTAAATCTAGTCATCGACGATGATCCCATTAAGACCAGGGAGGGACTGGTCAGAAGAAAAATGATCGAAATGGAAAAAAAGAAATGGGACAATAGGTATGAGGTTTTACAGCCGGAATCGGACCCGGAGGATGGAGAATTGGAATATACTTTTGGTTATGGTGAACTGGAGGAGGCAGCAATCAAAAAAGTGAGTAAAATGGAGCAGGGAGCCAATAGACAATTGATTGACCAGCTTAGGAAGAAAAGAGAGAAGGAATTTCTCTCGGAACTTCTGAGCCTGATAGCGGATAGGGGCTTCGAGAAGGAGGTTGAACAACATCTAAGGAAAAAGAAATATGGAAAAACGCAGACCGAAGAAGAGGAGTACAGGGAGTGGAACACTCCCCAAAGGCCGCCGTGGGATGTCCCCATTCCAGCCAAAACGCAGGCAAAGATTGATAGAAAAAAGGCTCTGTATGCGGCAAGGGAAGAGGAAAGGAAAAAACAGCAAGAAGAATGGGAGAATAGTCTGCCTGGTCCCTCGTATGCTAGACGGGAAAGGGAGAGGGAACAGATAGAAGCGGAAAGAGAAGAGGAGCGTTGCCTACAGCGCTTAAGGGGGTAGACACGGGTAATGCAGCGAGGTGACATTACCGGCAAAAACGGGCCTATTAATGGGTTTACGGGAATCGGTTATTTGTCCTTATATGAGAACACATAGGGCTGGGTAAGGGCTCATTCGAAAGAGGAAGGTCCAATGCAGGGCGGTCAACTCATGGTTTAACGAGATTATGTGTATATTTAATAATATCAGTGTCGAAAGTAGAAGAAAAAATCGACAAAATGCAGTTGCAAATTGGAAGCATTTTTAGGCCACTAAAAGAGTTTTGTGACTCAAACGGTGAGTTGACCGCCCTGCATTGAACCTTCCTCTTTCGAATGAGCCCTTATTCAGCTCAAGATCTTCTCATATAAGGACGAATAACCGATTCCCGTAAAAGCATTCCCGAAGACGAGTTCCGCCATTATCGGGATATAACAGAGCAAGTCACGTGACAAATTTAGTTCAGCTAGTAGTTATAAGGTGGCGTCTAAGTAGAAAGGCTGCCGATTTGGAATCGTAGTCAGAATCAAGCGTTAGCTTGATTACGTCACTCGAACTGTGCTGCGAAGGCAAGCGAAAAAGGCAACATCGCCCGAACGCTGAGTGAGACGCACTACAGTCATGCTGTCCTTCTCTCATTCTGAATGTTGAGATTGTCCCCTTTCGCTAAGATTTGACTGCCGCCCGGCTGGATTTTCCACAGCGCCCCATAACAAACCTCGCCCCATTCAAACTATATCGTGTTTGGTATCATTTTAATCAGAAAAATTTCACCAATGCGCTAGTAAAAGTTTCAGTAAAAAAAAGTCAAAAATAAAAAAGTTTTATAATTGAATTAGTATTAGTCACACCGATACGTTTCGGCTCTTTCCTTTGATCATTAGACCGCTCTCTCTCTCCTCCACTGTCAGTCCCTTTCTACGTTCACGCTTGGCTGGTCGTCGCATCTAATTCGAGATTTGACATCTCGGCTGAATATATGCGAGGTCCCTCCATTTATTAGTTCTAATAGTACCATACTTAGTACTTTTTTATGCAGAATGTTTCAAGGAGTTGACACAAGTAAAAATTGATGCAATTCCATTTAAATAAAAAGTGGATTTGCATTTTTGAGTGCATCGTTGCATTCACGGAGAAGATGAAATCACAGAAAAATAGACATTATCATACCATTGAACTTTTACATAAACAGCTTTTTCCTATCTCTTATCAAATTCAAGATATAACCCGTCAGAAATTGCATGACGTATCCTGTATATTTTTATTAATTAAGAAACATTTATTTAAAGAAGTTAATAACTTTTTCTAAAAAGTTTCTCAGATTGCACGTTCCTTCGGTTCTTCAGAGTAGGCATATATTTTTCAGCAGCGAGGGGTGCTACGGTGCGCTATATAAAATCCACGCGTTCAGTCAGTCAGAATTTATCGGAGCGGGACAATTCTATCATTTAGGTTGAAAGAAGGATAGCATGATCACCCTACATCTCACTCTAACCACGCGCCAATGTTTCGCTTTCGTTCTTCAGGCGGATCGTCGCGATGCCTCTGGCGAGATGAGCGTTTGAATGTGTTTGTAAAAATGCTTGAGGCGCTGTTGCCTTCCTAGATCGTGTTGCGCGCACGCTAGCTGAGAATTAAACCTTTCAAGTTCGTACCAGACCACGCAAGTGGCTCCACTAGGCCCAACGAAAAAACTGCTGTAATACCGACGTCCCGAATCGGAGAGGTCACGTGCCGTGTCTACCCCCTTAAGGGAAATGAAAAACCCGTTAGGATGGGTCTTTCGCCAGAACGATGGGGATGAGCCAAGTGAAGAGGTGTAATTACTTGGGGGGCCACCTCAGGTGTCGACAAAATAGTTTGTGGGGTGTCTGTAGGCTATGGGTTAAGGAATGGTCAAACGAGCGTGGTTGCGGGACTAAGAGTTTATGGTTATGTGTGACTTGGAGGTGTGAAAAGAAAAAGATTGGATTTGGTAATGTTTACAGGGTGTGGACTATTTTGTATTGGAAGTATGTTTACCTGTGCCGGCTCCCACGGAGCCCTCGGGCACAAGAAGATTATGGTAATTTTGGAAAGGTTAAAAGAAAAAAATTAATTTTGTATTATTACTCTGTAACAGGATTCGAACCTGGCGCGACTTTAAGAACCTGTTTAGAATGTAAGGATCTGGATGAGAGAGGGCGCCTAGTGCGCTATCAGCGCCCCTGCTGTACGATTAGATCTGTAAGATTACTTCCGAACATGGACAATTGGGTACTTAAAAAATTTGACGATAAGAGGGAAAAGGGTAACGCACCTTTGTATGATTTTTTGTGTATATCCGGGCTATACAGGTTAAGGGATATATGTCGGTGTTGGTTATTTATCCGATTTTCAATAAAATATATACTTTTTTGTAGGATTGCGGTTTATTTGTCCCCTGCATTTGTCACCAGAGGAAAGAGTACTGTAAGGACGGTGGGTAAGGCGCTTCGCCCTTGCGGCCGGGATAGAGGGGAGCACACCCCCTTTAGTAAGGTAAAATGGAGAACTCAATTTTGATAGGAATTTGGAACGCAAGAAGCGTGCGCGGTAAAACCGCGGAATTAAAAGAATATGTCTCTAAATTTCACGTTTTTGGTATTACTGAAACTTGGCTCAAACCTACGGACGTCTTGAACGTCCCGGGTTTTAATTCTGTTAGACTTGATTTGGATGAGGATAGGCAGGGAGGTGGAGTAGCATTGCTGCTCCAGGAGGACATTGTGTACCAAACTAGGGATTGTTCTGCGTGGGGTGGGGTAGGCAAACAGGCCCTGGGGGTAACTCTGACTTTGGATTCGGGGGAAGTGGATATGGTGGTAGTATATAGGAGGCCGGGGATTCCCTGGAGTAAAAGGGAGTGGAAAGATCTTTTGGATTGTAGGAGACCCGGGGTTCCGGTGCTCTTCATGGACGACTTTAACGCTAGGAGTAAGGCCTGGAACTGCTCAGTGGAAAGCAGGGAGGGGAAATCTTTGGAGGAGTCTGTGAGAGAAGCAGACCTTTTCGTTTTGAATAGGTACACGTTATCTAGGATAGGTTCGGGGGGACGACCCCCTTCCAACCTGGATCTTTTCATAGGCTCGCATAATTTCGTTACTTTGGGCTCTATAGAACAAGAGAATGAGACGTTAGGCTCGGATCATCAAGTAATCCTCCTCTACCTTAAAGAGGGAATTACTTCTGTAGGTAAGGGCAATAAACTAGGAAGTTTAACGAAAAGAATATAAACTGGCTGCTGTTTAAAGTCTTCTCAGGTGAAGAAGCGGCGTGTTTGGATGAGTTATGGAAAAAAGAGCCGTGGTCGAGTCAGAATATCAACTCGAGATGCGACCAGTTCGTTGAAGCTATGTATAGGGCCCTGACAAGGGCAGGAGGGGGGAGAAAAGTCCAACATCCCAGACCTGGGGACCCCGTTGGCGCTAGAGTTAGGAAAAGATAGGTATGGTGGGACCAAGAGTGCGAAATGGCCCAGAATAACCGTAGGAGAGCTACGCGCGAATATATTAGAAGACCTAGCCAGGATAATTGGGTCAGGTTAAGGGAGGCAGAAAAGAACATGAGAAGCTTGGTAAATACAAAAAAGAGTAAAGCATGGGATGATTTCGCGAGGTCCATAGACTGCTACACGAGCACGAAAGAGGCCTGGCGAAAGGTAAAAGGGGGTTACCAGGGTAGGGGATTGTACTATACCGATACAGGAGAGAAGGGAATTAGAAAACAAAGAGGTTAGTAAAATTTTGGGAGATGATAGTAGGGAAACGAACGAACCTATTGCTTGGCCCGAGCAGCCCGAATGGGAACATCTGGGGGAGGGAGCTTCCGACTGTCAGGTTTTTGCTTGACAGGAATTAGAGAGGGCCGGGAGGGGGGGTGCGAGGTAATACAGCCCCGGGGGAGGACGGGATCTCTTATGTAAGTTTAAAAAATCTTCATGAAAGCGCGAAAACGGTACTCTTAGAAATGTATAACTGGATATGCCTTAACGGGCATATCCCAGATCGATGGAAGAGGGTGGTGGTGAGATTCCTAGATAAACCAGGGAAAAAGGCCGACAGACCAATTTCCCTGATCGATTGCCTAGGGAAATTATTAGAAAAATTAGTGAAAGAGCGGTTGCAGGAGTGGGTTAAAAGGGAAGCCAGAGTGGATTTATGAAGGGTAGCTCCACGGTAGATAATATCATGATCTTAATCTCTGACGTTAAAGCAGCCTTCGCGCGGAAGGAAGAGACCACGGCTGTTTTTGTGGACGTGAAAGGGTAGTGCATGGGAAAATGGTTGAGATTTTGGAATGTAAGCGATGCCTACCGCCTATCAAAAGATACCTGGGTAACTGGCTATCGAATAGGCGAGCGGCATGTAGAAGGATGTTTGACCCGGAAAGGGAGGGAAGTGTGACCAGGGGGCTACCCCAAGGGTCTGTTCTGAGTCCCCTCCTGTATAATATCTACTCTTCGGATATCTGCACGGGGGTGGACCAGAGCTGCCTTAAAATTTTACTATATGCGGATGACATAGTGGTATATGTCTGGGGTAGGGATAGACTGGAAAGAGAACGTATTTTAAGTGAAGCCATCGAACGAATCATAAAAAATCTGAGAGATATAGGATTGGACCTGGCAATGGAGAAAACACAATGGATGACTTTCACTAAGAACAGAGCCAGGAAAGGGGTTAAATCCTCCATCCAAATTGGAGGGGAGACAGTAGAAAGCAGCAGAGAGATCCGTTCTTTGGGGGTGATTTTGGACGAGGGCTTGTCGTTTGGGGGACAGGTGGACTACATTTGTAATAAGACTAAAAAACGTCTGGACATTCTGCGCTACATAGCAAGCATTAAAAAAGGGGTAAACCCCCGGACGATGATCGTTTTCTTCAAAGGGCTCGTTCGTTCGATGATAGAATATGGGATTTTCACGTATTTCTGGTCCAACAAGAAGGGAAGGGAGAAGTTGTCCAAGCTGCAAAATGCAGGCTTGAGAATCGCAATGGGGTATAGGATAACCACCCCCATTAATGTGATGAATGTGGAGACCGGAGTGTTTGATTTAGAAACTAGAGTAGAGCTCCTGCTGGAGAGATTTATGTTCAAACATAGAATTAGAACAGACAGCTTAGTTAGAAGAAGTCTTGAGAACGTTATTGTTGTGAGAGAGGAGGAGGAATTGGAGTGCATGGAACCCTGGTCAAGGGCCTGGGTGAAAGTAGAAGAGTGGGTCGAGTGCTGTAAAACAGCGGTGATGAGCAGGGAAGAGTGGGTGGAGGTTGGTTCCTTTGTATCCAAGGGGGGATTCAAAGTTAATTGGGAAATGGGTAAGAGGAGGAAACAAATTGAGATCCCCGACAGGATGTTGGTTAGGGAAATTAGTAATGGTTTTTGGAACGGTTCGGACACGGAAGAAGTAGTGGAAATATATACCGATGGTTCAAAAAACCGCGGCATGGACGCGGTAGGATCTGGGATGGCGATCAGGGGGGTAAACAGCGAGTGGGAGGATCTGGGCTGGTCCCTGAATAGGGCTACTTCAGTCTTCTCGGCAGAGGCATACGCGATCCTCCAAGCGCTGAGGTACGTCAATGATAAGTCAAAGACTTGTAAATTTTTTATTATCACGGACTCAGCGAGCATCTTGGAGAAGATTGCGAATGTGGGAAGAAAACAGGGGGACTGCCCCTGGTGTTTCGAGATAGTCAGGGAATTAAGAAAAAATGCTGTCTGGAACGATAGAGAAGACGTGAGTACGATGAACGTGGCTTTTGCGTGGGTGCCAAGCCATGTAGGAATTGAGGGGAATGAACGGGCGGACCTCCAGGCGGGCCTCGCAACGAGGGGTGAGGAGGAAATGGGCGTAGGTGCCTCCACCCGAGATATTAGATTACACTTAGCAGAAGATGCGTGGGAAAGGTTCACTAATAGGATGTCTGCAATTGGTATTTTCAAGGGAGCAAAGTATTTCAGTAATCCCAAAAACAATGTGGGGAATAGGAAACCGTGGTTTTTTAAAGTTACAGGGGTAGGCAGGGAGTTGCTCACAAGGATGAGTAGGTTGAGGGCGAACCATTTTAATTTGGGGGAGTCGTTGTTCAGAAAAAATTTAATTGAGAGTAAAGAATGCAGCTGCGGCTACGGCGAGGAGTCAATTGAGCATGTAGTCTGGTATTGTGAAAAGTTCTTGATGGACAGATTGGAGTTAAATCGGTATTTGGAAGAAAGGGGTTTTTCCCCTGGCTCAGACGTGCTGGATATTTTCATGAGTGGAAATCTGGGGGTTTGCAAAAAAATTTCCAAATTCCTAGATAAATTGGGTAGAATTATTTAAGACTGGTCCTTGTTTTTGTTCCTCTACAGGTGTCAGGGGGTGAGGTCCCTCACTCCCACTTCAATGGTGACAAATGCAGGGCGCTGGTGCGTATCCCTCTTCTCTCTTTAGCGTATAAAAAGATGTATGAGTGCACGGATGCGCCTTGATTTTGAACTGTGTGTTACGATTGATATGGAATCTCTGGTTTGAATAGGCCGCTGTTTTCGTTGGGCAATATAGGGGGGGCTTTTCCCCCTTTTCGAATGCCATCTTGGGCTGCGCCCAAGTAAAGCCGTTATGTAATGTAATGTAATGTAAGGAGGCTCGGGGCACGGTAGCCCCCCTCGCCCCCCCGGAACAAGGTAGGGGTTGGAACCAAGTAGTACAAGGATTAAATAAGAATGATACTTCCCTCCCCAAATGTAGGGGTAGGGGAAAGGGAAGATTGGATTTGGAAGTAAAGGATAATCCGATTAAGACTAGAGAACTTCTGATTAGGACGAATCTTACTTCGTTGGAGAGAGAAAGATGGGCTAACAGATACGCAACTATCCA